TACAATTGTTAATATCTAATGTTTTGCTATTGATATTAAATATTGAACTTGATTAATCTGTTGTAATTGATTTTGTATTTAATTAGATTTGTACTTATGAAATAGATATTTACAATTTATTTGAATAAGAATTTGAAAATATGTGAAATAGATTAACATTTTGAAGTACATTTTTCTGCACTATTAATTCAGTAATAAAATATAAAGTATTTTGATCATTTGTTACTTCAATTGTTTATAAAAACTAGGATTCAATAAATTAATTTTCTTTAATTTGAATATATTTTGCAAATAATCCATAACTAAATCCAAATATGATTGAATACTCAATTTAATTAAAATTGAAGATTACATAGCTTATATCAATAGTAATAATTTATGAACAAAAAAGAAAATAAGAATGATCAAATTAATTTCTTTAAATTAATAAGTCTTTAAAAAAAAATGTTGTCTCTTCTATGTAATTAATATATAAAGTAAAAATAGAAGCATTTTTAAATATATTTGAATCTAAAGTCATATTTTAAGTGTTAATATCATACAAGTTTTATGAAAATTAAAATAATTAAGAATCTATAATAGTACAATTGTAAATATATAAAGAAACAATAGTCATTTATCCTTCAAATTTGAATAATTAGAAATTAAAAAATGAGGAATTTTTAATGGTTGTGTTTATAATTGAAAAATTTTATATATTAATTGAACCAAATTAGTCTGCTTAAAATATAGATCTGATATTAGTGATACTGCTATTCTATATTGTACAGTTGATGATGTTTAAATCAATTTGATTATGGCTATTAAACAATTGAAAATTCTCTTACGTTTCATTTGGAAATACAAAACCAAAATCAATAAAATTCACAGTATCATAATCATAAAGCAACATAGAATTTCCAAAATGAAAGAAAACAGAATTTAATGATATTAGATTAATTATAGCATTATTAAGTGCAAAGACTTCCTCTTTTATTGTTGCTCTACTTTTAAAACTTGGAACCATAATGCATAAATTTTAATAAATTTCAAAGTATACATTAAAAGTAAAGGTTTACATACCAACATGGTTATAATATTCTGAATTAATGTCAAAATATTGAAGAGTTGTAGGAAACCTATTAAAAAAGCAACTATACTCATAGGTTTCTAATTAAAATTCATTGTCACAATTATCATCAATGCAATATTTAGTCATTTTTTGATAAGGATCATAAAAAACAAATGGATCCATGATAGGGAAAAGACATTATTATGTGTAAATAATATTTTTTTAATTTTCTTATGTTAATTAAAACAAAGGATTCATAGTCTATTTATTTAATATAAATTACTTTTAATTCACTTGATGAACGAGATTAACATACCTAACATAGTCGAGGGCAAAGAGGACAATAAAATTAATACTAAATTTTGATTGTGTCTTCCAAATATTCTTGTTTGCATTCATCACAAAGATATTACTCATCATACTTATTGCATTTTAAGCAATCCTTACCACATTAATTAAACAAAGGTGTTTACTTATAATTTTCGGCTTGATAAGTATCAAAATTATAGACTAATAAAAAGGCTTTCACATACAAATCCCTAATATCTTAAGGATAGCTTGATCCTTATTCTTCACTTAGATAACATTATCTGTTTAATAACAAAAATCCAATTTTGCATTCAACACAAAAAACAATCTTATCATAATCTTATGCGCATATATTACAATTAATTATATAATTATCACAATCATAAACTACAAGGGATACTTAAAAATTATTTAATTAAGATATGATACAGATTTCTTCTAATTATAATACATAAGATGTTAAACAATTTTCTATTCTTGATACTTATTTTAAACATAATCCTAAATCAAAATTAAAAATATATCCATTCTCACATAAAATACAACCGATTTTGATCAAATCAATATCAATTTCATAATAATCCTACTCTCTTTTTTCAAGAGTATTTAAAAATCTATATTCATCAAAATATTCAAAACAATATTAACATTTATTTATTGGGCAAATCTTGCATTCTTTAAGAAATGATGTATAATATGGAGGTTAACAAGATTAATAAACATATTTATTAATTTAAACCTTACATTCTCCATTCACTAAAACTAAGTTCTCTTTACAAAGCTAACAAACTATTCCCTCATGTTATATTGCACATTTGAGACAATAAGCGACATTACATAGTGTACATCTTTTATCTTCATTATATTCACTTAACTATAAACAAAAGAATTTGAAATTCGAAGATATATGTAAATATAATTCATAAACACTATTTTCGTTTTACAACCCTTGATTATTATTATAAATGTAACAATAATCACATATTATCAAATCAAATCCATCGTAAAAAAATTACAAAGGATAATTTAATATAAGAGATGAATCAATTTCCTTAGATATAGGAATATAAAGATCATTTTAACAAATAGATTGTAAACTCCAATTCTCAACATTTGAATAACAGTCAAAACAAGTAACCAAATCATTTTTTACTCTAGAAGGACTAAAAATTAACTAGTAAAATACCATTTTACACAATCTCCTTCAAATTCAAAATAACCTGCTTTGCACTTTAAATTAGTATTTTATGATCTTCTTTTTAAAGATAGATTTGAATCTTAATAACTTACACATTTATTCTTATATTCTAGTGTAGAATATGAACATATGCATTATTTAAATTGGGCATGATACACTCTCTAATCTTCAACTGAACAAGACAAACAATGCATGTTACCAGGACCATCACATTCTAAACAATTATGATGACATCTTGATATCCTTTAATCATATTAACAATTAATAAATTATAAATTTCTTACTGAAATATTTAAATAATTTTACAAATTCTACTAGATATTTCCATATTTTATTTTATATTAACAATTATGAAATTACCTTACTTAAACTTAAGCCTAATAAAATTAGTTATTTTTTAAATACTAATTATAAAAAGTTATTTTAATATTGAGTTCATTATCCTTTAATTCTAAAAACAAATAATGCCATGATGTAATAATATTCCTTTAAGTTTAAAATTCTGTTTCAATTTTTTATGAACCATCTAAAATCTCTTTAGTGAAAATAGGAAAATCATAACTATATGCTGTTACAATTATCTTTGTTTCAATAGGAGAGATCTAATATATTAATTCAAATGTTCCCAAATTTTCATTTAAAAGAGTTTACTCCCCTATATATGCTGTCATTTTCATAAATGAATAAAAAAATTCTTCAGATTTCTATACAATATCTGATACTCTTAACCATCCACTTAAAGAATAGAAATCACAACTAATATGTTCTGAAATATAATTTTTTTCCTCGAGAAGATTAAAATCATAATCTTCTAAATTAACTTCTTCATTTTTTTCGCAATTACATTAGTCTAAATCATAATATCCTTCAATTATTTATTGCTCGAAGTCAAATTATAAAGGGATTACATCTATCAATGGATCATAAACTACAATATATCCTGGAAACAAAGAAAAAATCTTTCCTTTTTCAATTTACCCAATCTTAGACTCTTGTACTTCCAAACTCTCTCCGAAAGTAATCAATAAAGTTTCTTCTTTGAAAGGTTTCATATTCATTAACACCTCTTTGAATATTGTTATTTCTGATTATATAATGATAAACTCTACTCTCTTTAATTTTGGCCAAGAAATTAATTAAAATTGATACCACATGTTCTCATATTAATAATTATCTACATTTTTCTCAAATTTTATTTATTCATCTCGATCGTTAACAAATTATATGGTCTTTACTATGCTTTTTGAAGAATAATCTAAACAAACATAATAAATAAAATTTAAATTCTGGGTTGTATATTCCATTACATTTATCATCTAAAAGCAGTTACTTTCAAACATTCCGATTTGATCTTTAAAAGCTTTGATATTTAATGGATTGTATTTAGTCCATATTCCAAAAGTCAAACAACTCTCTTCAGATAATTAGGCTTCGTTAATTGTTATGATTTTTCTTAAACTTAAATTATTCAAATATAGAGTAGTTGATGGGAATTAATATTAAGCTGTTAATAGAAAGCATAAACAAATTGGAAATATCATTAAAAAATCAATGTTAATTACTTTAATTAGAGTAAGAATTTATATATAGTACTTAATGATAATTAATATAGTACTTAATGATTGAAAAAATGGTACTTAGTGATTTTTAAAATAGCACTATGTGATATTTATATTTAATTAATTTATTATTATGTTCAAAATATAGATTAAAGCCTGCCAACCTTTTTGTTTTATAAATATAAAATATCATTAAATACAATCTAACAAGTATAAAATTTTTGTAATTATTCAAATTATGGGAATTAATTACAATGATAAAAAGAACTAATTAAATATTTCTATTTTAAACCCACTTATGAGTTTGATAATTTCTTTGTAGAAGTATAAGGTCTTCCTTTATAATACTCACCTATGCCTTTCTGTAAAGTTAAAACATCTTTAAAATTCATTCAAGAATTGGAATTTTAAAGGTCTAGGTGTTCAATTATAGCCATCTTTACTATTGAAACTATTAAAGAGTTTCATTTAAATTATTTAATATGAATTAATTATTATTAAATATAATAATTAAATTCAATCAATCTAAGATTTTATTGAAAAATATTCACAGTTTATCTGACAGATTAAATTATTATTTTGTTAATCATTAGATTAAAGAATCAACAGCTAATAAAGATGAGTTAATTTAAAATAAACTCCATCATAATTGATAAATAATCTTTCCTTTTAACAGAATAAAATGTTATTCAAAATGATTTAAAAAGGCATATTAGATTTTTCTGATGAGAAAGGAATCAATCCAAATTCAAGAATAGCAAGAGCATGTTTTATATTTATTCAAGGAAAAAAAAAATTCATAATTCTGAACTGATTAATGAGAAATATTTTATAAATAAATCCTTATTGTTGTGATTTTTTGCATAAAATATTATTCAAAATATCATTCAATCTATGATTTAATTTTTAGTAGTTTCTCACATTCAGCTATTTATATCAATAAGAATATACATTTTTTATTTTTAACCCATAAATAATTTGGATTGATTTGAATAACCTTATTGTAATAAACAAGAGCTTCTGAATACTTTGATAATGATTGTAAACAAGCTCCTATTTAAAATTAAAATTTAATTAACCTTTGTTGGCTAAAGAAAACTCATGATTTGGATTAGAATTCAATGCTTTATCTAAAATCTCAATAGCTTCGTTATATTTACCCAAAATTCTTAATGATTCACCTAAATACAAAAAGTTAAATTACCTTTTGTTTATAATGAATCAACATGCTTTGAATTAATAGACAAAGCTTTATCAGCCCATATAATTGCATCATTGTGATTATCAATCATTCTTAAACAATCAGCTATTTAAATAATATAAGATTTATGTACCTTTTGTATATATTGAATTGAGATGTTTAGGATTAATGAGTAATGCAAAGTCTAATATTTTTATAGCTTCTTCATAATTATGATCGTAGTAATATAATTTAAATCCTAAATTAATTATCTAGTTACCTTTTTAATATAACTATTCTACTTCTACCTATTCTTATTAATTTAATTCTGATTACTTAAGTTCATCTACTTTTAATTCTATAATGTTTCTTTTTAATTTGGCAGTCATACTATCTGAAAATGTTTTTACTTCCTAGAATAAATCAGTTTTAATTTCCTCATATTTGATTACTTAATTTAAAACTTATTCTAATTGTTTTGTATTTAACTATGACAGATTCTTCATAGATAATTCATATTTGAGTTTCAAATTTAATTCTTTAAATAATTGTAGTATTTTATTAACCATCAATCTTAACGATGATATTTAACTTTCACTATCTTTCTCAATTTACTCAATTTATTCTTTTAAATTCTTTTAACCTTCTACATTACCAAAATTCTTAACACATTGATGACAATAAATTCTATTAGCTCTGCATTTTTAATTCAAACAAGCTAATTCAGCATAATCATTTCCTTCAATAGAATATTTTATCTCTAGTTCTCTTATCATATATTTTATTTTTATTTTTATTCTAATTAATTGATTATGTAAATTTAAATACTATCACTTAATACATGCAAATTAAATTAACACGTTTAAAAAAATGCCCACTCTTTTTATATATATCATATATTTTTTTTTATAAAAATCTATAATTTCTTTAAATAACCAAGCGATACTCGACCTAATTAGATAATATTTATCACTAATACCTCTAACAAAATTTTGAGTTAATTTTATTTTCATTTTTTTTGAAAAGACTTAGAAATTTATTGAGAGAATTCTTGTATAAAGTATCAATACTTTATTAATGGGGTAGCGCAAAAAAGGCTTTTCAAGATTAAAAGTATGATTTACGTACAAATAGGTATATAAATGTATTAAGATTAGTTAATAAAAGTAAAGAAATTAATTGAGTATAGTATCAATTTATAGAATCTGCTAAGATTAATAAGAATTTAGGCTATTCATCGTAAAATATAAATTTCATATGATTTTTAATAAACTATTAATCATTTTACATTTTAATTATTAAGCTTATGATGAATTGAGATAGAATAAATAATAAATTTAAAATGATTTAAGTCAGAATGTACTTAGAATCAAATTATCTGTATAAAATAAATAATTATTAATTTTTTTTACATATTTATTCATTACTAATTGAATTATTAAATATTATATAACTTTGAATTTCAGAAAATAAAAATTGAAATAGAAGTTATTTTTCACAAAATAAATTTTTTTGAGTTTCTGAGTGAAGATTCATCTTAAATTTAATCAATTTGAAAGATTATAATAATTATAAATTTTAATCAAATCCAAAAAAATAATAGATTATTAGAGGATCAAATATCCTATATAATTATTAAGAATTTTATCAATTTAAAAAGCCCTCATTTTACAAATAGTTCAATAATAAGGATTTAATTAAATTCAGATTACTTCAAATAAGCATATGATGAAATTAATATTTATAATAAATAAAAATAATTATGAATTTAATTCACTTAAATTAATTTAATTGGCTGATAATTACATAAATAATATTTTTGAATGATAAATATATTAAATAATAGCCAAAGTTAATTAATAATCTAAATCAAATAGCTCAAATATAGAAGTATTGATTAATATTTGTAAGCGGTTTTAAGTATTTATCATATATTTGCTTTTAAATTAAACGATTCTTGGTAAACAAAAGAAATACAAAAATAAGATTTTGGCCATTGTGCTTTTATTGGTACCCTTTTTTTTATAATGAAGAATCCTTTAAGAAATTAAAGATTTATAAAAGCTTGTATTTTAAGTAAATTAATAAAAATATTTATAAAGAATAGAAATTCTCGAAATAAAAAAATTAATTTTTTTTATATTGTTTCAAACTATCAATACAATCGCTGCTATATTTGATATGGAAATAAAATTATTTTTTTTAAATTTTAACTTCCTGCCAAA